AAGAGGCCCCTTTGTCTCAAACCTCATTTACCAGCCCTCAGGGACTGAAGGCAGGAGGATGGATCTGTCTCAAGATCATCTTGGCTACATTAGGTTCAAGGTTGCCCTTGGCTCCAGGAGACCCGGCTTTAAAACAGCAAAACAAACCAACAAACAAAAAAGAAGCCAGAAATGGAGGCTAGAGAGATGGTTTTGATAGAGGACCTGGGTTTGGTTTACAACACCCATATCGTGGCCCAAAGGAATATGTCCAGTCCAAGGGGATCCATGTTGTTCTGACTTCCTAGAGCACCAGGTAAATATATGTACAAACACACAAATGCAGGCAAAACAATCTCAGACATGAATAAGAACAATCAGTAAAAAAGACAGAGACCCTAGAATTTGGTTAGCTTAGCCAGAAATACCAAAACTCAGGAGGGTGAGGCAGAGCTTAGGGAGGCATGCTTGTAACTCCAACATTCCAGAGACAGAAGCAGCATTGTAAACTTCAGACATCTTGAGCCACATGGACAGTGCCAAAGTAGGCAACAGAGCATAACTCTGTCTCAAGAAACAAGACTGTGAATTAATAAAAAAAATATATATATATACGAAATATATATGATTATATATATTTGAGATGAAGGCAAAGCTGCCCTTGGCTCCAAAATCACTCTCCAATCTGCTCACCAGAAGACAGAAATGAGAATTCTTCTATCACACATGGCGTAAAGTCCCCAGTGGGGAGTGCTGGGCTGGAGAGATGGACTGGGTGCCCTGATGTAGGCAAGGGACTTACCAGACAGGCACTGGTGAAAGGTCTATGCCAACAGGACAGGAGGTGACTCCAAGATTCAAAGTGTCTCTCTGGCTCCCTGAGGCCTTTATCCACCCTTCCATTCACACCTCTTTTTTATAACTCCACCCCCAACCACAGGCAGCCTCTTCACTGAATTGGTTGAGTCTCCATCTAGAGAATCCTAATTAGCATTTTTGGTGTGTCCAGGTTGGCTGAATCAGATCACTTTCAGGACAGAGTGAACAGAGACTAAGTAGAAAGATAATGACCCATTCCTGAAATCCTGCACCCAGCTCCTCAGGAGACTGAGGCTGGAGAGTGATACATTCAGGGCCTGGACACACTGAGATCATAAACTGCCTTGGCACTCAGGAAGAGCCTGCCTCAAAAGACAGAGGTGCTGGGCAGAATGGCACACATCTTTAATCCCAGCACTCAAGAGGCAGGTAGATCTCGGTGAGGTTGAGATGAGCCTGGTTTAGACTGTCAGTTCCAGGTCAACCAGTGCTAGAGGGCAGACACTTCAAACAACAACAAATTGTTGAATAGCTAGGTCATCCTGAGCACACTCACCTGGCACCTAAATAGCAGACTTCAAAAAGAAGTCTCACTCAGGAGGCAAAAGCATGTGTAGGTCTTAGTTAGAGATCATTTTGTTTTTGGAAATGATTTCTAGGCCAGCCAGAGCTGTATATTGAGAACGTGTCTCAACAAACCAAACCAAAACTAAGCAGAGGGGGAAACAAAAAGAGAAAGTAGGGCATGGTGATTTACATTTTATAACCCTGTACAGCAGAGGTAGGTGGATCTCTGTGAGTTCAAGGCCACTCCGCTTGGACTACTGAGAGAGTTCCAGGGCTGCCAGAGCTACATATTAGAAATGTTTTATGAAAAACTAAAAGAAAGAAAGCTGTCTTTTTCCTGCTCTTTCTCTGTCTGTAATCTCTCCTCCTTTTTCCTTTTTTTGATGCAAGGTCTCTCTCTACAGCCCTATCTCCCCGGACACATTCCTTTATTCTCGTTCTGTCTTTTTCCTTGTCTTTGTTTGTTGGTTTGTTTGTTTTTGTTTTTGTTTTTGAGACATGTCTTTCTTGGTAGGCCTGGCTTCCCAAGCACTTTCCCAGGCATTACTTACAGGATGGACTTGAACCCTCAGAGATTCACCTGCCTTTGGCCTCAAGTGTGGGATTAAAGGTGTGTACCACCACACCCAGAAAACAAGGCTGTCTTAATTGAGGCTAATTCACTGTGGTTAGGCTGAGACAGAAGGAGTGCATATTTGACTAGATCAGGTTTAAAGAGCCAGTGAGAGGCCAGTCCAGCCCATATACCCAGAGTCTACCTAAACAAACAAACAAACAGAAATCCCAGCATAGCCAGCCAGGGTTACTCAATGAGACCCTGTCTCCAAGACAACAACATAAGGAAACAAGCTACTATCTTTTCCCTGCCCATTCGAGATAGGTTTTCTCTGTGTAGCTCAGGCTGTCCTGCATTTCATTTGGAGTCCCAGCTAGCCTCCAACTCACAGAAGTCTGCATACTGCTGCCTCCCTGAATGCTGGGATTAAAAGTAAGCACAACCAAGTTAGGCTCAAGACAGCTTTCTGTCCTGGTGCAGGCTATGGAATTTCAAGTATCTGACCCCACCCATTTTTATTGTAAGGGTGGGCATCTAACTTTCCTGCGTGTTAGGTACATATTCTACCAAAAGGGCTTCATCCACAGACTGTGGGTTAATGTATTTTGAGACCATGAGTTCTTGAGTCCTGTCAAGGCCCACTTTCCCTTTTCTGAAAAGCCTCTTTTTTGGAAGTACCTGAACCTACACTGTTGCATAGGTCTCCACTAATAGATTCCATAAGGGTGGATTTTAAGTTTCTCAATGACACCAGAGCTAGCATGACTAAAGACGCAGGAACTGTTTGGATCCCAAACAACCCTATTACATAGGTGTTGCTCCATAGACCCAAAACCTTTCCAGAGCCTTAAGCTAGTTCCTCTGAATGACACAGCTCTTGTCCATGGGATTCTTCCTAACCTTAGGGGACTTGCAAGGAAATGGTACCTGTCTTACAGCAGATGGATACCCATTGTCTATCTCCCCATACTCAGGAACTAGTTCTAAACCCATGTAGTACAGCCTTTTAACTCCCTGGGAATGGCAGATAGTAAACTTGTAGCTGCCCCTAGAGGAACTTGGTTTGCTTGTATTTCGAGCCTCACACTTTGTGTTTCTATTAGACGCTTGACTAACAAACAGAAGCCTGAATTTCATGTAATTCAACATATAGTTCCCAAGATTCTTATTATGAAGGTATAGCAGGCAGATGCCTATGGGCCTTCAATCAGCTTCGAGAAAGAGAAGAGAAGCCCCTATCCTAATATCCATGTTAGTAGGAACAGGGACATATTTTCTCAGAAAGAAATTATAAAATAGAGAATTCTTCTGAGAAAACTGTTACAAGATATAATTGAGAGGAGTCAGACTCTCCAGGTTGTGCAATAAGAGGACACAACAGGAGTTGTGTTGGTCTTTCAAACTCATCAACAGCCCTACTTTAAAACAGCTAACTGACAAGCCTTATGGGTGGATGAATGGCATATGACAAAAGAAAAATTAGAGGTACTTCTGCAGCTGGTACAGGAGCAACTAAATACTCAACACACTGAGGAATCTACCAGTCCATGGCATCCCCCTGTGTTTGTTACAAAGAAGAAATCAGGAAAATGGAGGGTGTTAAAAGGTACAGAGAATGAAAACCTTTCTCTATAGTGCTCACTCAAAGGCATCATGAAAAAGCAATCTTTTAAATCAATTATTATCAAAAGTTATGACTTAGGTAATAAAGAAGGCAATGCGATTCCAGGCTGTAGAGAGCCCATTGACTGAATCATCATATTTATGGCTCTTAAATCAGGTCTTTATTTAAACTTTCTTTCTGAGACAGGAGGAATCTATGCCTTCCATTGCTGCAACAAGTCACATGCCCTTAAATTCATGGCTATACTAGCCACATGTTTTTAATTTTTCTATTTGACCTTCTAGGCCTACACACATGGCCCATCTTGAGCTTTGTTTACCCTGACATAAAGTACCAATCCCTAGAAGCTAGATACTTACTTCCTGAAGAGACCAATCTGGATGCCAAGATATTTGAGAAATTTTTGTTATATCTGCTACAGTGTTTCTTAAATATTCAGTTCCAATGTGATTTATTAGTACTTTCAGAGAGGTGTCTGTTCATTTATAGCAATTTTCCAAAATGTTCGTTTTGAATTTTTTGTGCTCTTTATTAAAGCTGTTCTGTCTCTTACCATATCCAGGGCAATGTTGTTTTTAACAACAGACATTAAATCTTTTCTTCCTTTTTTTTTTTTTAAATTGACTTATTTTTTATTACAATTTATTTACTTTGTATCCCAGTTGTAGTCCCCTCCATCTGTGGAGTTGTCCCAATTCCTTTTTTTATAAACAAAATTATATCCAGTCCATTTTGCCAAAAAAGACTTAGAAGCCAGATGCTGGGGAGAAAACTTGCTAGCTCAGAGAGGCAGAGAAAGCACCCAGCTGATCTTTCTACATAGCTCACATCTCAGAGGAAAAAGCAGAAAGCCAAAAGTTGAAGGCCAAAAGCCCCTTCTTTTCTATGCTGTCTCAAATACCATTTTCTCTAAGTTTCTCCTTTCTACTTATTCCCTGTCAGCTAGTTTCTTGCTCTGCCTCTTGGCCTAGAGTTAACTTTATGTATCTCCTGTTTACAGAAATTTCTTCAATTAAAGAAATGTGTTAAGGTTTAGCCACACCACATCCTACTGTTTACAAAGACAGAAAGTTCTTGTGTTAAAGGTGTTGTACAGGAGATATGCACCTTTACAACTGGAAACAGGTAGTTTGAGTTCAAAAATTTCGGGGTTCACAAAGAAATCAAATATTCTAAAACACCAAACTGTGTCTAAAACCACCTGTTCTTGAACCCCTTGGTGAATGTCCTTCCACTTGACTTTGATTTCTCAGCATCCAGAAGCAGCCATCTCCTGTTTACTGCCAACATGGACAAAGTTTGGTCTCTATGTCATAGACACAGCTCTGACAACATTCAATGCAGATGGTTGTAGCAAATGCCATTGTCTTGGGCTCCCTTTTGGCCATAACTATGCCCTGGAGCTCCAGACACAGATGGGCAAATCTGTCCATGAGGATATTACAGGGGTTATCATAGCACTCTAGAGGGGCAGGGTACAACTGTACAGCTAGTTGATTTAGATTGGCCATGCACTGCAGAAGGTTCTTCACTGCAGTACTGGAGAAGTCATTGTCACTGAAATTGACCCTGGTGAGCTGGGAGCACTGGCTCAGGGCAGGCAGGAAGACACTGAGGTGAGAATTCTCCAAGCTGCAGTGCTCTAACTCCAGGGTCTGCAGACTGTCTGCCACATTCTCTAGGAGGACTCGGAGACCTGTGGGACGTGATGTAGATAACTCTATGTGACTGAGAAGCAGAAATTTCACTTGACAGAGCCTTGGACACTGTGACAGTTGCTTCAAGTCTGACTGTGAGAGATGGAGAGTGATAGACAAGGATTCCAACGGGGTCTTCAGGCACCTAGAAAAAGAATAAGAAATAAGTTCTGGTGCATTGTGTTGAAAGACATTAGTAAAGTTGACACTGAGACAGGGAGACCACAAATGCAAAGTCACTCATTGCATATGCTGAAGGACAACACTCAAGGTACAGCTTGTTGGGGTCTGGTCATATCATTGTCTCCTGAGGTACAGCGCTATCAGCTGGGATGGTCTCAGAACACAGATCTGCATCTTCCCAAACAGAGAATTACAGCTTGCCACCTCATGCCAGGAAGGCCTACACAGAATGTACCATCACAGAGACATCTTGGCATGTGGCCAAGAGTTCATCCTTGTCCTGACTCTCTAGCACAACCTCTACCCCTGATTTTATTGCTCCACCCTTAAAACTAATGACCCCCAACCAAGTGTCACCCCATCGCCATGTACTAAGTCCCAAACTATGTTAAAATCATCCTTTCCTTCGGGGGAACTAAGGCTGAGAGGTCAATAGAGGAACAAACTGGTTTATATAAAAAAAAAAAACCTCCCTAGAATCTTGTTTATGTTTTGGTTCTCCCCAGCTCAGGTCCCACTGCTCAGTTCATTTGCCTTCCATTAGCTTGGACAGGATCCCACAGGGAAAACCCCAAAGATCACGCACTACCTCCTACCCACCAATGCAACGGATACACTTACACGGCCGCTCTATGTATGTGGCAGCCTATTTGGAGTCACTGCTGGCCAGTGGCATCTATGTATCTCCTGCCCTAGCTCAAACTCTGCTCAATGAAAGGGGAACTCGAGAGAGCTCAGTTAAGAAAATAACAACCCACACTTAGTTTCATGAGACTGTCACTGTAAAATCCACTGTGGTTGGCACACCTCAGGTGCCCACTAATGCTCAAAGGAAAGGAAAGGGTGTGCTGACATGGCAGAAGCAGCTGACCAAAATGCCCTACCTGCACAACTGTTTCACGTTCTCAGTGGAAAAGTAGATGCCATTCAGGTAGAGATGCTGGAGAGAGTTGAGTTTGGAGAACTGAGTAAGAAACTTGTGAAGAGACATTTCAATGGCTGAACTGTCCATGAAGAAGGCATTGAGACTTAGATGGCATTTGTGGAGATTTCTCATCTGGCCAAGGCAAGGTGCAAAGGAATTTGGGAAGGGCAGGATCTTAGTTGTTATTATTTCCAATTCCTCGATGTAGTGTGGCCAAAAAATGTCTAGAACCTCCCTGATGGTCTCCACAGGGAAATCAGAGATCTCCATCTTTACACAGCAAAGCTGCACAGTGCCGTTTCTCTGCTGGGCCCACTGCAACAAGCATGTTTGGTGTTCTTGCAGATGGAAGCAGAGGCTCAGGTCAGTGACTACCTTCAAAGGCTGCCTCAGGGCATGTCTATGAAGGGACTTTACTACTTGCTTCTCACTCCCAGAATCTTCTGAGTGGACTCCCTTCTCTCTTCCAGTCCATACATCCCAGAAATTCTGGTGCACATTCCTTAAGTCCAGCACTTGAAGCTTCCACCTTCTGTGAGGAGAAAAGGTGAAATTTCATAATGTAAACCAGGAACCTACCTGGAGGCAGCTTATATCCCACTATTCTAATGTCAGTTCCATCATAGCACCTCACACCTGCCAGGCAAAGTTGCTTTGCCTGAGCTGCATCTGGAGACCTGCCCTGCTTCCCTCCATTCAGTGTGTGTGGACTCGTCTCTTCCACATCTAGAACACACAGGGAAAAGCTCATTCTAGTATGGCTACATCTTCTCTGAGCTGTCCTCCATTCCTGACTGTCATTTATAGCAGCTCTCAACATAAACGCTAGTTCCATAGACCTTCAATTCCATGACATCAGGAGCCTCTGTCCATTTTGACTCTATTATTTCTGATCATACCTGTCTTTCCACTAGCCAAGTGACTCCCCTTCTAGCCTTGCTTATCTGGAATGGGCCTTCTGGGTCAGCAGCATGTCTATGCCATCCAGCACAGCTTGCAAAGTCTCTACTTCAGGAGTCATCATCAGTACCCCCACAGGGAGGCAATGAAAGGGCCAGGCTGCCACCATTGCCTTCAATATCTTTGTGTGTCTGCCTTCGGAAGCCTCTTTGAACAGTGGTGGGAAGAGCATAATGGGCATGCAGTCCAGAGAAGAAATGGCCAAGGATTCATTCTTCAGCAGTCCCTGCATGGCCAGCTGCTGGAGTGTAGGAGGGTTGTAGATGCTCATTGTGATAGATATTCAGTCAGAAGGGACCTGTGAAGCATTTAGGAGACATAGTTTCAGCCTAAGTTCTGAAAATTCCCATTTCTCACACATCACAAGAACCCAAGGGCTAGAGTCCATGCTCTGGCAATTATGGAGAACTGTTACTGCCCAGTTATCCAATCTGGTAGTCTCTAAACCATACTTCCATCACTCTCAGCATGTGGATTCTCTTATTAGTGCCCACACAGGAACACATTAACCATTGTCCCACCAGGTACCCACTCCTGCTCCTCTGAATCTCATGCCTAATCAGAACAAGAATTATGCATGAACATGCAATCTGACCACACTGCTGTTATAGGAAAAAGATTTCTAGGACCTAAAGGATATATAGTGCTGATGTCAAAGGCCAACTCATACTTATTGTCTTTCAAGAGACTGATCCCTTTTGGGAAGGATTAAGGAGAATCTGTGAGAAGCCCGTCAGCATGCACTACTTTTCATCCTGTTAGGGAACAGTGAGGGAGTACAGGGCTACATTATATTAATTTAAGGAACTGGGGTTAATGGTCTGTAATTTATGGCCACCTGGCTATACTATCAGACCATGTCTGAAATACAAATTTAAAGTGAGAGATGCAATTCTCCCCAAAGCAACTGGAAAGCCATGCTACTGAGTGAGAGCTTGTCCAAAATGTGAGTATTCCATGAGAAGCCTGGGGCACAGACTCTACAAGGAGATGGATTCCCCATGTTAAATTGGGGTGGAGAGGAAGAAAAGAAATGAGAAAACCCATCAATATTCATAAGTTTTTGTTTACATTTTTACATATTGTATGGGCTGCAAAGGAGTCTTGAGTGGAATTGGTTACCCTTCCAAACCTGAACGAAACTCATTATTGTAACTCACACTTGTGCCTACTCATCATGTTCCAGCTATGAAAAGGAATATTGGGATTGTTTTGTTTTTGTTTTTTTTTTAATTTCCTACTGGACTTTGCTTTAAAACACTTTATAAATGACACATAACCTTGTAGGAACCTATAATCCCAACTCTTTGGAGCAAGAATCAGAAGGAATCAAGCCAGTCTAATCTATAGTCTATTTCAGATTAGTCCAGGGTGGGGGAAATGAAGAGAAATATGATTTTAAATGTCAGCCTGATGCAATGGTATATGCAGGTAAGCTCAACCCTGTGGGAGGCAGAAGCAGGTAGATCTCTGTGATTTGGAGGCCAGCCCAGTCTACAAAGTTAGTTCAGGATAGCCAAGGCTACACAGGAAACCTGTGTCTTAAAAAACAAAAAACCAAACCAAACCAAAACAAAACAAAAAAAGAACAAAAGGATTTTAAATGCCTTCCTTGAATTTGTTCCATAGTGGGGTTGTTCCCACTACACAACTGTTCCCAGGTCATCTATTTCATTTTGTTTAATTTTATGTAGAGATAAGTTTTCTCCATGCAGCCTGGAGTGTGATCTTTTGTGCTCAGGACACTAATTCTAGTTTCCAGGTGAGCCTGCTGTATGCTACATAGCTCCCACTCCTCATATATCTATATAGAGCGGGACATATACACACACACACCACACATACATGTACACATATGGAGGAGTGTGTCTGTCTTAGTTTTAGACAACCTCAATCAAGTAGACAAGGCTGAGCAAAAACAGTTCTATAGCCTTCATTCACAGAGCAGCTGGAACATGGTTTTTGCATGAAGCCATCCCCAGCACTGTTCCTAGAGGACAATTAAGAGAAAATCTTCAGTACATTTAATCTTCACTACATTAAACTATGTGAAACATAGTTTAAGATACTATAAAGACTTAAACTACTCTCTAATTTAACATCCTAACTGAAATTCCAAAATGAGCCTAGAACTCTGGACAGGGGCAGAAAGATATAGATTTCAAGGCCAGCCTTGGTTATTTGAGACCCTGTCTCTAAAAACTCAACAGAACAAAGAAACTGACATGTAAATCCCTATGTAATGACCATTTCTCATTAAAACCAAATTATACCAAGTCTAAAAATTCTAAATTGGAAATATAACTGTAGCTTCATGGTGATAAAGCTAACCCAGCATGCAAGAGGCCTCCAGATGGAGGTGAGCGACTTACCTGATATGAACACTGGTCACAAGGCTCCTGTTCCCAGATAGGTCAGGCAGTGACTGCAGACTCCAGGGCTCTGATGTTCTACCATGGCTTTTCTACTGCTTTTATACACCTTCCTCCTTGCCACTCCCCATGTAGCCCCACCTTCCTTCCACAAGTTCCTGTCTGAGTGGTCCAATGAGTCTCCACCCACTTCATCCTATGAAGATTGATTTTTCCTACTGCAGGTTGATTGAATCACACCTTCTTGTGTGAACTCAAAAACACTGAACTAGAGACTCAAGATTCCCCAAGGCATAGTGGCACATGCCTTTCATTCCAGCCCTTGGGAGGCAGAGGCAGTCTGATATCCATGAGCTCAAGATCAGCCTGCTCTATAAAGTGAGTTCAAGGACACCCAGGGCTACACACTGAGAAAACCTGTCTTGAAAAACAAGCAAGCAAGCAAACAAAAAAACAAAAAGTCAAATTTCAATTGCTTGCTTGATTGACTCAGTTTGTATATGTATCCTCATGTACTGATTTATCTATGGGTATAATTCAGTGTGTGTGGTTTTAGCGTCTATGTGTGTATTTGATTCAGTGTGGGTTTCATTGTGCATGTGTACTTGAAGTGTAGTGAATTTTAGGTTAGTCAAAGGTTACATAGTGAGGAGAAAAGACTCCAACAAGGAGCTCCAGTGGTTAATATGGGGAACTGTCTTAAAGATTAAGGTGTGTCATTTTTCATCACAGGTTGCAATGTTGCCAGAGCCCAGGGTGCAGTGTTCACGCGGGATTTTGTACTGTGCGTAGGTGCTTGCACCTTGGAGTTTTCAGGCTCCTTCCAGAAGCAAGGAATATGTTTACAGGAATTCTAAAGTATATTCAAAGGCTGTGTTGTGCCAGGATCACAGGACCCTCAGAGACCACCAGGAGATGACTCGATGCAAGAGCAAGAGATCTTTATTATGAGAGTGATCAAACTCAGGACCCCCAAGTCACAGTGACACAGCAGTAGAGAAGTGGGACCCTAAGCCCTGAGTGAGCAGGGTTTTTAAAGGGAAAGTCTGCAAGCAGGGGGTTTCCATGACAGCAACCAAGGGGGTTCATGCCTTGGCATTACAGAGTTGGGTAAAACTCAGAGGGGTGAGGTAACCTTTTCTAAGACACATAATCAAATTGCCTAAGGCATGTAATCACAATTGCTATTCTTCTAAACTATATCTGGTACATTGGGGAGAATTTTCCCAACCGATTCTCATTGATTGCTGCCAGGGGAGATTGTCTCTACTTTTTACTAAACATTGTTCTGTGATATTTCCTGGAGGCCATTGCTAGGAGAGATAACTTTGTTTTCTGCCAGGTGCACAGTCTGTTATATTTCCTGGTACCTGAGTTCAGCTCCCGGTCAAGATGGCTCCTCATTTCAAAATGGAGTACCCAGGCTAACTTAAACTCTTCATTTCCCACTTTCCTTGTACCTAAAGAGGCCAAACTTGGGCTCCTACAGTCCAAGGTCAGCCTCAAGCTGGTGGCATTAGGTTTTCATTACCATCAACTGTATTGTCCCAAGTCTTTGTCTAATATATTCTAACAACTTATTAAGAAAGCATGATCCAAAACTACCAAAAGCAAAATATTCTGCCATTGAGCTGTTTGTACATCCAATATTGCAATACTAGTTTCTGCTCCTGCTAAGCAGGTCCACAAGACAATAGCTAATGTCAGGGAGCCCCCTTTGCTTAGCATTTCAGCCTGTAGGTGGGATTTGGGACCAGTGGTCTCTTTTTCTGAAACTGCCTCTGAAGAGTTTAACTTAGCCTGGGTATAGTTAGCCTGAGTAAAGAGCCATCTTGACTGGGAGCTGAATTCAGATACAAGGAAATATCACAGAATGTACACTTGGCAGAGAACAAAGTTAACTCTCCTAGCAACAGCCTCCAGAAAATAATACAGAATAAAAGCTTCATAGAAAATAGAGACAATCTCTCTGGCAATAATCAATGAGAATCGGTTGGGAAGCGGGTGGGAAAATTCTCCCCAATGTTTCAGATATGGCTTAGAGAAATAGCCATTGTGATTATATGCCTTAGCCATTGTGATTGTGTGCCTCAGAAAAGGTCACCCGCCCTGCTAAACTTCACCCAATTCTGTAACACCAAGGCTTGTGCCCCCCTGCTTGCTGCCATGGAAACCCCCTGCTCACAGACTTTCCCTTTAAAAATCCTGTTCACTCAGAGCTCGGGGTCCCAACTCTCTACTGCTGTGTCAGTGAGGCTTTGGTCCCAAGTTCAGTCGCTCTCATAATAAAGTTCTCTTGCAATTGCATTGAGTCATCTCCAGGTGGTCTTTCAGGGTCCGTGAACCTGGCATTCATTACACCTCAATGCTGACAATAAGACTGCTGGCATCAGGGGCTAAGAAGGCTGAAATTCCAGCCAAAGTCTGGACAGTGCAGCAGTTCTCAGAAGTTTCTGGCTAGTTGATCCATCTGAGGAGAGAGTGAGCAATCTTGTCAGCTTCCAGCAAGTTCAGATCATCTCAGCTTGTAGCCTCAACCAGGTGAAAATCTGTTGAGACAAATTCAAACTAGAAACAGAAGTTAAAATTTGTCTAATAAATGAGAAAAGTTAGAACTCCCAAAATTAAGGAAATAATTCATCTGGGGTCTGTTTCAGATATGTCAGATTCAGTTCTCCTGACTTTTTGATTACCTGAAACTCATATGAATTTTTAGTTTGCAATACAAAATATATAAAAAGACTCAAAACTAATATGTTAAAAATATTTTGTGAATAACAGGTAAAACTGCATCCAACAGAATGAGCAACAATTTAAGTGTGTCCATGCTCTGAAACTCTAACATTTTAACTGTGGGTACAGCTGTTGGTAATCAGCCAACATGCCATTTCTTATACAT